CAACGGAGCATGAGATTGTATGAGTAGGGTACGAGCAGTTTCAATAAGATGTCTATTCTTTCTTTCAGCTACCCCATTTTGTTGAGATGTGTACGGACAAGATGTTTGATGAATAATCCCATGAGATTTCATAAACTGCTGAAATGGGGAAGACAAATACTCTCGGGCATTATCACTACGAAATGTGCGAATAGAAACCCCAAATTGATTTTGAATTTCAGCGTGGAAGGTTTGGAAAATAGAAAACAGCTCAGATCAATTTTTTATCAAAAATATCCAAGTGCACTTGAAATAATCATCAATGAAACTGAAAAAGTAGCGGAATCCCAAGGTGGAACTGAATAGACTAAAGTAAAAGGTGACTCTGCTCGATTATCAAGACGCCGAGGGAAATGGGAGCGGGTATGCTTACCGAGCTGACATGACTCACACTCTAGAGCTGACAAGTGAGATAAACCAGATATCATTTTCTGAAGTTTTGACAAACTGGGATGTCCCAACCGTTTATGTAATAAATCTGGTGAATCAGTAACAGGACAAGTTGTAGAAGGAAGACAAGATGTGAGTCCATGTGATTTAGCAAGGATAAGGTAATAAAGTCCGTTTGATTCACGCCCGGTACCAATGATCCGCCCCGTACTGCATTCCTGTATAAAAACATGGTCATCAAGAAATAAAACAGCGCATTTAAGTGATTTGGCTAAGCGACTAACAGCTATGAGATTAAAAGGACTATTGGGAACATAAAGGACTGAATCTAAAGGTAAGGAAGGAAGTGGGCTTGCTTGACCTATTGCAGTTGCCATGGTTTGAGACCCATTGGCCATTGTGACTTTTGGAAGAGATTGAGAATACGAAATAGTAGTGAAAAGAGATTTATTACCAGAAATATGAATGACCCAAGACTCAGAGGATAAAGATTGGGAGAAACAAGTCACGCTATTACCTGTTTGAACAACAGAAACTATCTCAGAAGATGTCTGCTTAACCAGGATGGATAGTCTCGTAACCAGGATGGATAGAATCGGAATTCCTTTGCGAGCAAGTTGTCCTGAAGAAATATTTTCAAAAAATGGCCAGAAAGGTCACTGTTCACGCCGGAAAAATATAAAAGTGGCCGGAATTTGATTTTAATTGGATGGGTAGGCTCGGAATTTTGAGAAGAGCACACTGTCCTGAAGAAGCTTCGCGAAAAAATGGTCGGAAAGTGGTCGGAACCCTCGCCGGAAAAGTTGTTGCCGGCGCGTGGAGGAGCGTGGCGGCTTTTCTGCCGGATAAAATTTCAGGGGTTGGTAGTTGAAGGGTGATCTACCTCGTGGTGGTGTTGGTTTTAGCACAACACCGACAAAAAATGACTTTCACTTAGACAAGCCTTAGGTCACCGGAAAAATTGCACGATGACTAAGTTCTTTCTTCCCGGTTAACGCTGGAATGACGCACAACGATCTTTTCTCACTAATGCTCTGATACCATGTGAGAAGGCACGGGAGAAAATATGTTATTGATATTGGATGATAAATACAATACAAGAGGTCCCTATTTATAGCTATACACTACAAGGAGATATTACTCCTCTTCCAATGTGGGACAAGACTACACTATACATATCTGTAAACTAACAGGAGAGAAGGTAATGCCTTCTGATCTGGATGAGCCACTCCGGATATGTAATTTAATAGTATCTTTTCATCATATCCAGTGAAGAACTCATCCAGCTTCTCTGTTTTATTTGGAAAGGGAACGGGGGCAAAGGAAGAATACTTAATTAACTATATTTCCAGAGTTTCCTTGGCCTAGTTTGTTCAAGTAATCCGGATATACTTGTGTTTAAACTCTATGTGACAAGAGAAGAAGTTACAAAATGGAACTGGTCTCCATAGCAATAAGGTTGGCGTAAAATGTTGATATCAGAAAGCCAGGGCAACCAAGGTTTCAGCAAGCTTTCTGGTCTTACTGGATCAAAAAAAAATTAATATTTTCTACCTAAAGACCCATACACTAGAATAACCCCATAAGATGACACTCTAAAATCAACTTTTTCTCCGGTATCCAAGAGCAGAAAAGAATTTTATACCCAAAGAAACAAGAGAACTGGTTTTTGGATAAGGTACAACCATACAAGAGAACTTACAGTTGACTCGTGTCTAAGGCGACGCGGCTGTGAGACCAACTTATCATAATCGTCCTACAAATAGTAGGAAAAGGATCAATACACGCAACACAACAGTCACCACGTTGAGAGGAAATCCTTTTGTAATCAGTAAGTGTAGTTGCATTGCAGATTAAGAAGATAAAAGGTGACAAGAGTCGAAAAGGTGATTGACCCGTAATTCTGCAGGTACCCAAGTTATGCAGTATCAGCTTATATCCCATTTCCTACCCCAACTTTAACACAGTCTGACATATCTTAGTGGCCATAGCAAACATAATAAGAAAGCGTGCAATGAATCAAAGGAAGCAATAATCAACTAATTCTTTTCTTTTGAAACTGACTTTGACTTTGATTCTGTCGAATCGTGCGATCATTTCATCTAAAAGTTGAAGTTGTTACAGGGACTACACTTTTTTTTATTTATTTACTTATGTTTCGACATGTTTCCTCACATATGGACCTGATTCTTTTCTATGGGCCACGCACATGAATTTTTTTTTATTTTTCTGATGAACGGTGATGATGAGAGTTGAGACCTAAACCCAGAACCTTTTATGCTCTGCTGCCATATTGAATTGGGTAATCATCTCATCAAAGCTTAACTGTTCGATAAAACACATTTAGTTATTTAAACATATCTCCAACAGACTATATACTTCCTGAGATAGCATTTGACTCAATTTTCTTTCTTATCTTATGTAGCATCTTTTGATAGTTTTTAAGATTAAGCACAATTAAAATGGATCATTTATTGCATTTCTGCATGTGCTTGGTTGCTGCAAATTAATAATTTGACAACCATGGAGGACATTATCTGCTACATTTTCTCCTTCAAATGCTTGTAACACATTCAATGGACAAACCATGTCTAGAGTAATGCTCCTATGCCACAACAAATATTTGGATTTATCCCTTCTTGCACGACCTCTGCAATACAAGACCATTCCAATACTTAAGCTACCAATTGAAAGGAATTAACGACAATAAAAAGGGTAAGTTACCATTGACACAGTAAGAGGCTTCTTGTTAGCCAGCACCACACAACAACCAAAATCTACAACACGATTTAGCACTCCAATAGTCTCGGCACTAGCTGAACAATCAACAAAAGCTAAACCTGCCACAGTTTGAATTTCAGTCAAAAAGGAGCCTGATCATGAAAGAACTCTCCAAAAGCTAACATCTTGACACCTGCATTATCTTATGCCTTTCACGTACAAAGAAGTAAAGCAAGTGCAATAAAGGTTATAAGCAAGAATAAAATGTGTTTCGAACCCATTTGCTCCCTATAAAGACAAAACTTCCTTCTGCAGCATAATTGGTTAGCAACTTCTCGCCAACGCAAAAAAAAAAAAGTTAAAGAAAAGCAGCAAATTAGCTCCATTAAAGCTAATTTATTCACTGTACTTCATGCATTTGAGCCTAGAGAGTAGACTATATAGTGGAAGTAAATAAGCAAGGTCCAGAATCATATGGCAGCTGAAGTCCACAATCGCACCATACTCATTAAAACATTTAAAATCATGGGGAAGATTTAACAGTAGGAATTGTTACTAATCAAAATTCTTAAGGAGATTATACGGAACAGATTTAACAGCTAGGAATTGTTACTAATCATCTTTCTTAAGGAGATCATTCCTCCACCACTAAAGATTAGACTATAATATAAGCAAGTCTATGCTTTCCATAAAACCCCAAGAATCCCAAAATAAAAAGTTTTCAACATGCCACAAACCTGTTGATTTACCAAGAAGACCACCAATATCAGTTACTTTCAGTAAAACATCTGGACTGGTAAACACTTGGCATGCACCTACATGTTACAACCAAAAACAAAATCACCTTTTTGTCATTCTGCAAATGAACACACCAAATGACTTTAACATCTTTAACAACACAACAAAAATGACACTCAAGGATATGGCCTAGTAGTTAATGAAGTGCGAAGAGAACCATGAGGTCTCGGGTTCTAATCCCAATAGAAACAAAAAAAACGTTGATTTCTCCCCATCTGCCTCCTAAGCCTTGATAGGCAAAGTTACCCGGTACCTATACTGGTGGGAGTTACCAGGTGCACAGTGGAATAGTGGAGGTGTCATAAAAAAGGAAATAAACAACACGAGAAAAATGGTGAACCGTTACCAAAATTTCCAAGAGTCAGCAAAGGAGAGCCATTGGATTTGACCCGGCAAACTTCTAGAAGAAATGAATCATCTAATTCTGCAGTGAAAACATCAGGTGCAACCACCAAACATTTGCTATCACACACACCTACTACTCGAAGATGCACCCCCTGCAAAATACCCAAGAAAACACACTAGTAAGCATTAAAAATTGATTCTTTTTTTTTTCTAAAGTTACAAAAAATGATCATTACCTGTTTGGCGTGAAGGGATCGACAAGAAACAATGTGTTGGAGGAGTTGACGGCCAACTCCACCACAACCCATCAAAAGCAACGGTATATTTTTCATCTTTTTGCTCTATTTTGAATTTTCCGATCTCCTTTCGAGACTCTTTGGTTTTGATACTTTGATCGATGGGGTTTTTGGACGAATGTTTGTGTGTACGTTTTGGTTCTTAATGTTTTGCATGTGACACATTAGACCCATGTTTAGGGTCAAAAATTCTCATATGACAACAGCTTGTTTTGACGATAAATTTTACAATTTGTGAGGCACAAGTATGATTAGTTGTATGAGGAATTTTATTACTCCTTTTTATGTGATGCACTTTAACTTTGTATGGAGTTTAAGAAAAGAAAAAATTTAAAACTTATGTTCTAAAAATATCATAGGCATTTTGCATGATCATAGATGATCTCGTAATAAGAGTAAAATAAATAATTATAAAATTCTTTTTTCCTATTAGAATTACTCTATTGTCTCAGTTCGTCAAAACAATTTTTTTTAATAGTGATCCTCCTATTCAAATGTCTTTTTTTCCCGAAGTTCATATTCTTATAAAAATTGCAAGGTCTTTGGATATCACTTAGCTTGACCTTAGCAGAGAATGACTATACTCACAAACAAGATTAATAAATTTGTTAGGAAATTCCAAATTCATCTCTAAACTTGTCCAACTTTCTTTATGATGATGAATATCCCTCGTAATTGTAGCTGACACCCTAAACTCCGCTTCTTTACTATTTGTTCGAAGATTAAACAAGAATTTAATGAATGAAATCCGCTCAAAATTAAAAAGCAATTTTTAGCTGAGGCGTGAGTTACAATGTAATGTGCATCGTTATCAAAACTGAAAAATAGTACACCAGTACAGATTGCAACTTCATAGAACCCAAAGCAATTAAGTGGCAGTCTCAAGTTCTCAACAAATAACAATTTAATGTAGAGCGAATTAAAAGTCGTAGTAAAACATTACAGAATAAGAATACACAACTATTGTCGATGTCACTAGAAATTCGATACAATCAAGAATGATTTGAACGTGGAAAAGATAATGAGAAATTACAAAATAGAAACTCCCTAAGAGTCTGTTGGTGTCCTCTAAAATGATCCAATTTGTAGTATCTACCAAGAATTCCAAGTGCGTCATATTCCAAGAATTGTAGCAGAATCAGAAAATATTTTGGAAAAACATAATTCCAAAGCCAAGAACGATGTGCATCTTGGAGAATGCCATGGTTTGAGCTGCATTTTTATCGTTGTTCTCAGATGTAGGGCTTGAGGCAAATCCTCCTGAGGAAAGAAAGAAAGAAAGAAATAAATAAAGGGAGGATTAGAAAATTGGTATATTTACACTGTCACCATATTTTAATTTGTTGTAAGAAAAATCTATCATGTTTTTTATTTTTAGGTTATTAATCCCACTTTGTACGGGCACTTTTGTATAATTATATCTTAGGTGACATAATAGTGTAAAAATATACTAAAAAGATACAAAATCACTTTCTAGTATTGGGTAAAAAAGAACTATGTAAAAACTTAGGGCCCGTTTGGCCATAAAAAAAAAATACTTTTTTGCGATTTTTATTTTATTTTTTTCCAGGCCATAAAAATTTTAAATTTTACTTGAAATAGAATTTCGAATTTTTCGAATTTTAAAAATTTCAAAAAGCTATTTTTCAAAATTTCGCTTCAAAACATTCGCAAAAATTCAAAATAGCTCCAAATTATATTCATCTCTAAACACAACTCTAATTTTTAAATACCATTTTCAACTTTGAATTTTTTTTTCGGAATTTCACAATTCTTATGTCCAAACGCCACTTAGAATGTTGTAAATTTTCGTTTACATATTTTAAAATTCTTTAAAAGCTATCTTTCTGTGGTTGTTGAAATACTACTTTTTAGAGAAAAAGTTAAACATTAAATTATTTAAGTACAAATAAATAACTTTACCAGGTGAAAGAGCAGGAACTAATTCATCACTTGCTGTTGGAGCTGCAACTGGGATACCTAAAGCTGAAAAACAAAAACAAAAGTTAAAAATAATCCGTCAGATCCAACCCGATCCAAATCGGAGCAAATTCTTTTTTTAGCTTGAGTTTCAAGATATATATAGNATCACATCCTAATTACTAAAAAGAAAACAAAAAATAAGTATAAAACTTAGTATATTGTTTCGGTTTCTATCTTTGAAGTCTCACTATATGGGTGTTATAAATGAGTAGAATGTTAATGTCTCAATCAATCCATAGAACTAATATTACATTGCTATTTAATAATATCATCTACAAGAGTCATATATCACATAAGAGCTTAATAATAAAGTAGTTATGTTGCAGAATTTCAATTATTTATGTATTAATCGTGATTGATGTCACTTATTAGCTACGTATAGACCTCACACTGTACCCTAAAAAAAATTAATTTATAATGTAATACTTCGACGTAGAAAATAAGACATGAAGAAATGTTAGCATTTATTGGTTTTTCGATGAGCCTGCCAATTTGGTTGGAAGTTGTGAACCAGCGGACAATTAAAGAAGACCATTAATTGGCGAACATGCTCCCGCTGGCAATGCTTTTCTCAAAAATATTGATGGGTATGTGTCGCATCTTTTTTTTAGGATCTAATAATGTTACATCAATCCTTTTAGACTTTTAGAGAGTTCGAACAACATAGTTTAGTTTATGAGTTAATCCTCAAGTCTCTTAAGAATTCAAGTTTCTAACCTCGGTTTTATTTATTTACTTCCCTTGTTATTTTTGAATCACCCCCTCACTTTATTTTCGTTTCAAGAAAATATTGGCATTAGTTAACATATATTTACTTAATCAACGCCATTATGTCCTTTTCTTTTCTAATTTGAAAATAAAGTTTGCTCACATGCAAATCCCTTGAAATCTCCAACAAATTTAAGTCATAAACGAAAAAGTTCATAAACAAAGTCAAACAAATTGCTTTCTTACAATATCCTACAAGTATAAAGTTGCATACTGACCATAATCATACTTCCTAATATTCTCTTACGTAGGCCTCCGTCGTCTCCCAAAAAATTTAAAAGAAAAAAGGCAAATTACACATTTGGCTAGTCGGTTAAAAACAATTACATATGTTAGCTAAATATATTAAAAAAAATTACATATGCTAGCTAAATATACAAAAAATATATAAATATGTATCTTATACATTAATATACAAAAATAAATATTTTCTTAGTTACTAGTATTATTTTTTGGAGCGGCTATACGGTGTAATTTTGGTCTCGCAAGTTGTTTAAGAGGAGTAAGATTAGATTAAGTCCTCAAGTCAATAAATCTTTTTTTTTCTTTACATATGAAAGAAAGTTCAGAGACATAAAAATAACTATTTTTATAAAGAGTTCTGACACATAAGTTTGTTCAATATACGGTTTCTTGACAACAATTTTAATTTTTAAACAACGAACTATATCTCCAATTTACCTTTACTATTCGTTTCATATATAAAAGAAGGCAATAAACGGAGAACAGTATTAGAGAAAAAAGAAGGGGTACCTGCGCAAGTGCTAACTGGTGGAGTTTCTACAGTGCAGATATTAGGAAGTTTAAGAGCCCTATTAATATCAATCTGGACACCAAGTTTATCAGGATCACCAAGCAATTGGCACAAGCAAATTGGGTTACTATCCACTAATCCAGCAAGTTCAGGGCAACACTCTTTATCTGGCTTAGTCAAGTTGCTTCCTTGTTCTACAAACGTTAAGCAACTTGACATGTTCACCAACACTGACAAGCAATCCAACCCGGGGCTCGGAGCGGCCGGGGCCATCGCCATCGATGGCCCTGAAGCAGCCCCCATTGGTGATATTTGTGACTCGGCGGACGAAATTAGAATTGAAAATAGGAGAAATGTGGTGGCAATGGCGCCGGTAATTTTGGTTGTTGAGGCCATTGATTTTGGTGGTGTTAGAAATGTGTGAGCAATGAAGTATAAGCAGAGATATAAAGTAGTAGTACGTAGTAAGTAGTACTTATTATTGAGGTGGCTTGAATAGGGAAATGTGATAGCTAACTTTTAGGTAGCCCAAAATTAAATTTTCCAACACCTACTACCAGACTATGTTTTAAAATTCTGCATTAATTCTTTCCTTTTCCTTTTTCTTTTCACATTCTCTATACAGTTTATGGCAAACTCTGAAAAATATGAAAATATGTCCTTGGTCCTCCTCCAGTGATCAATCAGTGAAGTTTTCGCATTGTAAAGGGTAATTACTCTTCCTTCTAATGGACGGTCAAATTACACACTGATGTGGGTGCAATGAGTTGAGTGCTAGACGCCACACAAGGAAAACTTGCAGCTATTACATACTCCATTCTCCGTTTTATTTTATATGCCTTACTTTGACTATACACAGATTTAATTTAAGATTGTAACTAAGATTTTTGAATATCTTGATATTAAAAATTGTGTGTAACATATCAAAAACAACGAAATCTTTGATTTTAAATATGGCATATCATTTTATTTTATAACGAAATATTTGATATTAAAAACTTACTACATATAGAAATGTGATATTTCTTTAATAACAGACTAAAATATGTCCTCCACCACCTCACCCACCCACCCNGGTTGGGAGTTAGGGCGTTTGAAAACAAGAATAATGTGCAGCCATGGGAAAAGAAGAAAGTTGCATGGCATGTAGGACAGAGAAAGCTTCATGCACAAGAAGCTGGAATTCTTCATTTGCTCTTTTGAAAACTTCTAGCTTTAACTTTTCTTGCAACACTAAGCATGTTTTTGTTTATTTATGTATGGCCAAAAAATGGGGGGGGGAAAAAACAAGTACGAATTTTTCTTTAAGCAAGATATATTTTCTATCTTTCTAATGTATTTTAGTTTGAAGTTTTATCTTATTTTCCTAAAATAAATCTAGCTTTAATTTTAAACACCGGAATACCATGAGAGCTTCAGAAATCAAATTTATATGTTTAAATGAAGCTATTTACGCTTACGCGTACCCAATGTAAATTTTCACTTGTTGAATAGAATATACACGTAGGTTCAAATGTTGACCCAATAATAGTTGTTACTTCGCTACGTTTAATTATTACAGTGTATATAGCTCATGAATGTTGAAGTTGACTTGTCCAAAGATAGCCGTAATGCTCTGATTTTTTCTTTCCTTTCAAGAGGGTTAAGGTTA